ACACACACACACACACTCTCCCCACTTTAAAAAACCCAGACAAAAAGAGAATGCAAATAATTAAAGAAAGAAACCCTAAAAAACATATTTACTTTGAGAAACAACGGACACATCAGCCAACGACAGTCTCAGAAACGGGGGCGTTGTCTCCTGCAGCAAAATCCCCCGTCACTGTGGCCAGGAGTATAGGAGCCTTGTATTGTGCGACATATATCTACTCAAACAACAAGTTTAATGTGTCCCACGCGCTCATGACCTTATGCAGTTGTGAGCGCCGTAAAACATTTACCAAAAATCAAAACAACAGCAAGTCGTGTGCTTTGAGACTTTGTAACGCACACAAATGCACAAAATTCCAAACCCCTATTACTTGTGTACAAAAGATAAATTTAAATTGTGAAATCGTATCCACACGACAGAAAATAAAGCCCACAAACTCTCACCAGACAAAACAGCATGTACGATTCACAGATTGCCTTTCTGTGTCCCTGTTCAAACGACACAGTTTCCAGCAGAGAAAACGCCCAGTTTCGTTGTACAGATCGTTAAAGTATTTTTTTAAAAGCAAAAACAATAGCCCATTCTCGCTTCCCACATCGTAAACGGAATGCAGAAAGCAAGGAGAAAAAAAAACACAAAAAAAAGCCCACAAAAAACCCGTCTGTTTGGCGCACCAGGTCCTCATCTGCTCGCCCGCTCGCTGAGATGTACATGTAGATCGGCGCCACAAGTCCCGGGGCGCGCACGTCATCAAAGACGATCTTTATTTACATTTCATTCCTTCCCAACGGCTCACGCGCACTTGCACATGGCTTTCTGCGGAGAGCTGTCGCTCAGTTTAACTGCCTTGACGGACGAGCTACAATTGTCGCGCAGTAAATTCCTCCCAGAAAGTGTCGCTTACTTTTGGGTGGCAGCCGCACAGGGCGACATTTAACGCTACTGCTCAGTTCAACATGGACGATCGGAGAGTCACGGTGGCTTTGGTCATGGTGATGAGAAGAATCTTAAAAAAAAAAAGAAGAAAGCGACAAAAAAGATTTTGGGTTCATCCCATTGTTTCTCCCAGATTACTAAGAGGACAGTTTTACACCTTATATGAAGAACTTCAAGAAGATGAGTCCAAATTCTTCAATTACTTTCGGAAGCCCAAAAGCCACATGTGAAGAATTGACAACGATTTCGACACCCAATGTTCTTCGACAGCATACAAATATTTCCAAAATCAAACGCTCTGTTTCCTGACAAAAGACATGGTTGCACTGGGAATATTGTCCTGTTGAATGAGAAGCGAGAAAAAACACAACTATTGCAAGAATGCCCCGGTAGTAAATACATCTCGTTTGTCCGTGTCCCTTGAACGGTGTGCTTCACCAAAAACGCTGGTGTGTCGCGGCGTAGCAGAATGTGGGCGACACACGTATGCTACGCCAGGACTGAAAATAACGCCTGCCACTCGTGTGACCGCTCCCATTGTCTACAGTGTATCATCATACTGCGCAGAAACAACTGCTGCGTTTTTTTACATCTCAAGTGTCAAGGCCCTAAGTGCTGCATTGTTGTTGGACGCTTTGGAATGGCGGCTGTCCTTCCTCTAGACGGACTGGACCGAGGAAGAGTTGATGGATGGTTTGTGTTTTAAAATAGACCAGTCTGCACCGCAAGGTGTGTCAACATTGCCATGCGCCACATCGAGATTAGATACGCGAACAAAGACACAAATCAACGCCGGTGCCTTGGAAGAAATGCCAAGGGAAACAACAGATGATTGCACTCTTAGAGAACGTCGCCGACACACAATAACATTATATCCCATCAGCAGCAAGCTCAAGGCATTACAGTAATTTTTGCGGCTCATTTCCAACCGCCCCACACACATTTATTTGGAAACGCGAATTTGCATATTTTCTAGCGTGCTTCTTCTTGCCGGCCTTTTTCAAGTTTGGGAAAAAAAAACCAGCTGAGAAATTAGTGGGAATAACAAAGTTTAGATGCTGGTTTTTTGGGTTGTTGATTTTTATTTTTCGAAGTGTCCCCAAACAGCACGTCTTTAAACGTTGTGGGGTGACCAGGCCGCATGGTCTCTGTGACTTGACAGCCACAGCGGGGCAGACGGTGAGGTCAGCACAGAGGTTCTTGTACGCTCGGCTGATAGGAGAAAGTGTGTGTGTGTGTGGGGGGGGGTGGGGGGTGGCAGGAGTGGGGGTGGGGTGGGAGGGAAAGAGGAGGCAGGAGGTGGGAGGGGGGGTATGTCCAATCCCAAAGAGACCATTCTAAGACTTTTTGTTATCCCTTGTCCATTTATATGAGATTGACGTCTTCTGGTTCGTAGAAAAAAAAGTGCGTATGATAGTGTCCAATAGTGTATTACGTGCATACTTGGTATGACAAGTAACTGTTACAGATAGAGATTCCAGGATTATAGATGTAAGTCACATCTGAGAGCAATGATGATTTTAGAAATATTGGTGGTGACGAGTGATGATGTTCGATTGCGTTTAAGTAAAGTTAGCGTTAGTCCTATCGTCGTCTGCTCCAATGAGTCACGTGGGACGTGGGCACCCTCTATCCCGTTCCCTACTGACAGGCTACTGGAACCATCTTTATGGTCTCCATGAAGTTCCGAAATGGTGGGCGCAGTCTCTGCTGAGATGATATTGTTAGTGTTAGCCTATTCTATTAGGCCAAGACAAGTGTCGAGAGGAGCTAAGTGGGAAGACAGTATAGTGGCAGGTATGTTGGTGTATTCGTAAGTGGACCATTCTGAGACTTGTTTAGACAGGTTTCACTAGCTCTTTATCTTATAGCCTTCCTGTCTTTGAAGATGGATGCTAGAACTGGCGTCATAAACAATCTTTGCGGAAAGTGACCATAGATTTCATACTACACGACGTCTTAAGGACACTCTAGGACGATATGCAAGCTTTGCCCAAGGACACTGGAAAACGCAAACGACAGTGTCCCCGATACAAAAGAGCCAAACTGAGAATCTCCGCTGTGAAGAGATTAGATTTGCGTGACGGAAAAGTGCAGGCACATATTTTTTTACCTGGACGTGAAAAAACCAAAACGCCTTGCGTGTCGGCACAGGAGAAGGCTGTCATTTCAGATTGACATTTCTCATTTCTATTTTCTATTTCGCTCCTTCATATCACTCTATTTAGGAAAGCTATTTAAAATTATAAAATTACGTTATCATTTTAAACAGGAATCATATCATTAGATTTTTCAAGCATAAGCGAAAAAGAAAAACAACAACAAAAAATAACTGTTTTTACCAATTCCAAAGGCTGGACTGGGCACACATGGGTCCATGAGAGATTGGCGGACGCACGTAAACAACTCACACGGAAGGAGAAAGACACGAACAGATTGCACGTTTTCTGACTGTTCTGTCAGTTCTTCACCTCTCGAGATAAGGCAAACCCTAATACCCCCGGGGCGGTGCTACTGACGTAGGTGTCTTTAGGCCATTTTCAAAGGAGGGGGGGGGGGCATTAACATCACGAGTTCTTCTGCACAGTAGAAATGTAATTATAAATGGGCTGATTCATCAATGCCAAGCTCATAACTGTGCCTGAACTGCTTTTTCCTCCCAAATCTTTACTATCGTCATTTTCTCTCTACTTCTTTTGTATGTTTGTCACACTCTTGTGACCCGCTGTTTCCGGAGTGCCTTGATAGTCAAAGCAGAATTTGTGCTGTTGAAGCTATTGAGGTGAGCAGAGTAAGTCTGATTCCCTGTAAGGACTTCTCTGTTGACATCCACCCGTTGGCGCTCATATGACGCAATGCAGTTGCGGGCGCCGTACAACCTCTACAAAAACTAATAATAATAATAATAGATAGCATTTGTATAGCCCATATCCCCGCTCAACATCAGGCTCTATGCGCTTTACACTATATTATTACCCCAGCAGACCATAGAACACTCCGAAACATTCTCAGCTTCCCAGGAAGCATACAGTGCAAGCAGCTGATTAAGCGCTCAAACACTAACAAACTGACAAGGTCTTTCGCTGTCTATAGCCGGGTACCCATTCCCACCTGGGTGAAGTGAGGAAAATTCGTGTAAAGTGCCTTTCCCAAGGACACAACGTCGGGTCCCTGACGGGATTCGAACCCACGACCTTACGGTTGCGAGTCCGAGAGCCTAACCACTAGGCCACCGACGCCACCCCGCTAAAGGAAACCCTAGGCAAGGCTTCCTCGTCACTGGTCACACCAGACTGACCATTGGTGATCGAATTGTTGCTGTTCTTTCGAACTTCTTCTCAGATTCTCGTTGATCTGCCCTGTGCCTGCCTCTCCCAATAAACGACACGGTAGCCTAACAAACTTCTACTCTTATCGTCTTTTAAGTTTTTTTCTCTCTATTTTTCGCCTTCTCATCAAACTCAGAGCTGTCAACGGCTGAGATTTTTTACCTGAGGTATTGGTCAAACGTCTCGTTTTCTTGTTTTTTAATTAATGAATGTATTCTGTAATAATGACGAAAATTGAGGGCAAACGAAGTAGGGGTAGGCCCAGAGCAACCTACTTAGGGAACCTAAACCTACACACACACACACACACACACACACACACACACACACACACACACACACACACACACACACACTCACGGGAAAGCTTCAGAGCCGCGCACTATTTGACGATATTGATACATTTAGATTTCCCAATACTGCCCAACCGATACATTCTCCTTCACAAAAGTTATCATGTACTATTTCCACGCAATTTATCTTCACGAAAACTGTTTTTCTTTTGCGACAAGTGTTTTTGGTGTCTTTGTGTCATTTAACGATTCAATTCGTTCACAAAAACCGACACGTTTAAGACTTGCTATGACGTAAAATGGCTAACCTTTTTGTCTTGAATTTATTGAGCCAATATTGGTCATTTTTAAGCACAAGGGGGCTATCCCAAAAAATGTTTTTTGAGAAAATCGAAGGTAAAGGTTTTGCCCCCTGTTCAGTTTCTTTAAAAGACAAGAGAGTTTTCTCTACTACCAAACAAATATACATCCAAAAGAAACCAAACTTCTCCTATGGGTAGGGCAATATTCACTTTTGGTGTAGGTCAATATTTCTGGAAACCCCCGAAATCTGGGTTAGCCCACTTGTCCTTTTAAAGTGACCACTTGTGCAGCAAGTGTGCCACTAATGGAGATCCCTCTGATAAACGGTGAGTTGCAACGCTACGACGCAGTAACAAATCTAATGCAGATATAATATGTAAAGCGTGCTGACAAAATGAGTAACTTCTTGAATTCACGTTTTATGGAAATAGGTATATCACGCTTATAGGTGAAGTTTTTAAAATTTATAAGTATGAGATTGAAAAAAGAAATGCTATAGTTAAAGGATATGACATCAATACAAATTCTACAAATTTAACCTTAGCGTCGAATTTTGGCCAATATCTCCTTTTGTGGATTTCGAGAAGTAACTCATCTGGTTAGCACGCCTCACAATCTCTAACTGATATAAATATGTTGCTCTCAAATCCAGTACAACACAGAGTAGAGGCGTATAAAATTGCTTGGGAATATTGGTAGTGGTTGTATCCCATAGACAGCTAGTAGGAGAACAGTATGAAGAAGTCTTGGTTGAAGCAAATTGCAGACGACAGCTTAGGACGAGTATACGAAAGCGACAGGTAAAGTTCATTGGACACACAATGTGGAAAGAAGCATTGGAGAATAATATTGTAACAACAGGCAAGTTTGATGGAAAGAGAGGCAGAGGCAGACAGAGGGAAAAGATACTGGACAAGTTGACAATGTGGCTGGGAACAGCAAGAACGACAGACACCATCGTTGCAACGCAAGAAAGAATGTAGTGGAGGTACATGGTCGCCTACGCCAGTCGGCAAGGCACCGAATGATCATGATTGGTAGTGGTGATCTGAGAGCAACGATGATTTTAGAAATAATGGTGGTGATGATGTGCTCCATGTGCGTATATTTTCAGCTGCGCTTGTACCTCCCACAGTCCCAAGAGTGTATATTCTCAGTTCCGGAGGGGGCGGGGGTACCGCATTTGAGCATTTTTCGAAATTAGTGAACCTAATAAAACTTAAATTTTCATAATATTCATTAATTTACCTTTAAAGATTGTTGTATGTTGTTATCTAAACCTCATTACAAAGATACTACACCACTTTTTAGAATGCTTGCCTCTTATTCTGAAATACTGTTGTATTGGCTGGGACTGGAGTATATGGAGTGGACAAAAATGGCTTGGGCTGGAAGGGTTAAACTATTTCGATATTGTCTTCCTCCACCCCTGCACCCTGCTCTCCCCCCCCCTTCCCCCCTGCCCACTTCTCACCTGCCCCCTTCCACCCAGGACCTGTTCTCGTGCCGGTTCCCGCGCAGCCCTCCCACGCCCTACAACCAGCACTACAACAAGACGTGCACGGGCCACGAGAGAATCGACCCCGACTCCTTCGAGATGGAAGCCCAGCTACAGTTTGTCAGCGACGCCGTCATGGCCTTTGCGCATGCGTTCAAGGTGAGCGGAGTGTCTTCTTTGTTTGTTGTGTCACAAACGTTGACGTGACCTGGTAGCAACACGAGCTGGGATTACAAGGATAATCCAATACTCGGGTAATACCCGGGAAATAGAAAAATGATCCGAGTAACTACCCGGGTACTCGCCCAGCACAAGTGGCAACAGATACGTGCGTTTTACCGGCGTCTGGGACGATGGTTGGCGCAACACTGCTGCTGCACGAAGAGAACCTGAGTTCGATTCCTGCGTAGGGAACTTTAGTACTGTGGAACTCGGTTTCAACTATGTCGTCAGTTTATTCAATCAAAATCTACACATGTCAACAAGTCTGTTTTGATATTTTATATAGAAAACGGACACTTTTTTCTGTGCAATATAATATAAAATCTGTTAATAATTCGCATTTCCTTACTGTATGCAATAAAACAAATCTAAAATGGCACAAGATGGCGGGTGGAGGAGATGTGATGAGTTTACTGTTATTTGAATAATTTTTTTTCGATGAACTCGCCACACGTTTTTCCAGCTTTGTCGACTTCACCGTCGTGAAGAGTTCACTGGCTTTCTGTCTCCCCCCCCCTACCCCCTACCCCCTACCCCACCCCTCCCTTTAGGAGATTCACCTACGCCTGTGTGGCGGGAGGCCCGGCCTGTGTGAGCGCATGACAAAGATCGACGGTGACATCATCAAAGCCCACCTGCTCAAGGTCAAGTTCACAGGTAAATCTGCGTAGTGGGGTCACAGGGAGAGGTGTCTTGCGATTGGGACGGTCACCCGGCTATTTTGTACCGTGTCTTTAGAATTGTGTCTTTTGTATGCTGTATTTTGTATCCTGTATTTTGTATTGTGTATTTTATACCATGTCTTTTGTACTGTGTCATTTGTATAAATAAGCGCTTTGCTTTGCTCGTAAAGAGCGTGCGTTCGATTCCCCAGTGGGGAAGATATATTTCATATGGCTGGGATAAACTGATCGAAATTGTATGGAAGAATTGAAATCCGTAACGACAAGTTCAAAATTGAAATGAGCTCCACTTCACGTTGAATATCAGTCTCTCATTACCATTACTCTGGGCGAAAATAAATGACTCCTTGCACAGCGAAATATCGTTCGTTTTTGGTTTGGGAGAGGGGGTGGGGTGAGGGTTGAACATTTTTCTGTAATAAACCTTTATTTGTGACGTGTTGTTAAGCGTTTCGCTGTCCTGAGTGTGATGTGTGATGTGTGATGTGATCACTAGTGGCCCTAGATCTACTGAGAGTGAGAAAACGCGCGCATCATAAATGTTGTTTAAAACACTAGAGTGAGTCCTGGCATGTTCAAATGTCCTCTCTGAAACATTGTATCAGTGCATAATACAACTATCTGTCTATTAAAACATTGTATCAGTACATAATACATCTCTATCTGTCCACTGACACATTCTGTCAGTACATAATACATCTCTATCTGTCCACTGACACGTTCTGTCAGTACATAATACATCTCTATCT